AGCCTGCTTCTGTATGGGCCATGGTCTAAGAATACTTTTTACATTTTTAAAGTTAGAACACAACACATACAAAAAACAAAGAAAGGTATATAATAGAGGCCATATGGGCTGCAAAACCTAAAATATTAACTATTTTGTCATTACAGAGAAAGTCTGTCAAAGCCCAGTTTAAGATATTGGGGATAAAACAGTGTAAAAGAAAAAAACAAAAAAGAATGTCTTGCCTTTATGGGATATTCTAGTGGGAAGGATACAGATAAACAATTAAAATATATGGTTTGTCAGATGGTACATGCACAAGTTATGCGGGGAAGGGGATCAACTGTTAGCAAAGGGGCAGAGATTGCCTCATGGCCCATAGAGCAAAATGGAGTGACCACGTGGGATAAGGAATGATGTGGTTATCTGATCTTTTGAGGATGATAAGGGCTATAAAGAGATAGCGTCAAGGAGAAATATTTTGATCGTGATTGCTGTAGTGACGGTAGTGGAGGGGGTCATTTCACTTCAGAAGCCCAGGGCGCTAGGACTCTCACTCCTCTCCTGCCAGTCATGGGGTAGAGACTAGGGAAGAGTGTGGTTTCACTGGCAATACCCAGAACTTCTGACTCTTTCTAGATAATCAATGCTTTATTGAGCGGGAGAGCTACAGGTCATAGCTGGGCTTTGAGAGGGTTTATTTGACGGTAAGAGTAAACTAGAGGAAAGAGTCACCAAGCAGGATCCTCAAAGTGACAAAATTTATAACAGCAGGCATTTCCTGAGGTTGACAATGTACTAGAAGAGACCACTGACAAGCACAACATTCTGGCGGTTAGATAAGTCTGGGACAAAAGATGAAATTATTGCTGTTGTAAGCACCATAGTATAACAAACACCATACTGAATCAAATCAGTATTCAGTGATATTTTATTGAAATGTTTATTCAGCACCTACTATGCACCCAAAACTTTTAGGAACTGAAAATAAAATGATATGCAGGAAAATATAAACAAGTTCCATCTCTCATGAAATTTCCATCTGAATGCTGTGGGTAATTTCAATTTTTTT